GACCAGGTCGCGCAACACTCATGGAGCGGACGGTGGTTCGCTAGAGAATTTGCGTATCGAGCCTCCGGTGCTAATGATATCACATGGTTTCTGTTGAGATTGCTGCTTTTGGCTTCCACTGATTTCCAGGCCTATTAGTTGCTTGTTTTAGTGTTCCGTTACCCCGCAGTATTGGCCCTTTCGCACCAGGAGGACCGGCATGCGTGGTTTTATTTATCGTTCCGTCTGCCAGTAGCTTGTTAGGATGTTATCCATTTTTCTCTAGCCATAAAACCATTTCAGTCAAAACATACTTCTATCTTTCCAAATGACGAGCAACTCACTGTCATTGAGAGTCTTGTTTTCGAGACGGAAGCCCTTGAACCGGTCACGGGTGAGTATTAGTTCCATTTGTGAACAGTTTGTATTACTGTTCGCTACTTTTGATAATTGTGAACTCACGCCGGCTACCTCTCTGTTCCTAAGTCAGAGTTTAAGGTTGCATAAGTGTCGTGACGCTGACAACAGCCTTATTTTGGTACTTGACAAGGCACTTTTGCGTGAGAATTCAGGAGGATTGGGTTGTGTACGGGGTAACAGAAGTTCTCACAGTAGTATACCTCTCTTCCACTCTTAAAAGCCTTACTGTTACTGTTCCATCCCTACTAAAGAAGATTCCTCGGATAGAACGCAATTAGTACAACTTCCTGGGTCTCAACTTTTCGCGAATTAGGCACAAGTTTGAAAAAACCCTTCGCATTCCCTTCCATGCTGACTGCTTGTATACCATTTCTTCCCACAGTATCAAATAAGACCCTCCTGACGTGGTTTCTCGACTTGTAATTGGCTCGGAAAAGAATAAGAGTGTCATGTGAATTTCTTAGTAATCCCAAAATTGGGTAGAGGTGACCGAACTGAAAGTGTTATTTAGCACAATTAGTTTGCAAGCGGCTACGATATAACTTTTTCGTGTCACTCGTTTCTTATCAAAACGATTCCGTCACAGTTAGGATAGAATTATTCCTCAAATGAGCTTCCATATCTTGGTGAGTGATAAAATTCTCGTACTTTTTTTACAACTCATGTGCTCTAAATACCATCATGTTTATAGTGATGCAAGAGAATCCTACTGCCTATTTCTCTTTTTTTCGTATAGCTGTCCTAACACGATTGTTCGAGTGTAAGAGCTACCCTACAGCCGCTACGCCCTTATTGATTCTCCATTGTATATTGTTCATTTATGACTTGTTTCAATTTTTTTCCTCC